GTTGTCAAGATGGAAATTTTCGTTATTTGTTGTCAAGACTGACACAGTAGCCCAAGCCAAAATACTTCTTCGTCAAAAAAAAATCTCGGAGAATTTCAAAAAAGTAAATTTTTTCAGTCTCGAGAAAAGCGCCCTGTCAAATTTTCGTGAAAAGAAATTATTAAGGTAAGTAAACATTAGCATTAAAAGCGGGAAATTTTTAAACCTTTTTAAAGTTTTTTGTCGGACATATTTTAATTTTCAGTCTTTTTAGGAGACACATGTTTTTAAATTTTTTTTTACTTGTGTTTTTTTGTCAATTTTCAAGTACTTTTTGAAGCGAAAATTTTTCAAATGTTTCTCAATTTTTTTACTTCCAATTTCTTTCAAATTTACAGTCTTCTTGAAGACTGAGAGTCTTAACTTTTTTTTAAGCTCACAAATCATACCGAAAGTTTCCTTTGTTTAAACACCGCCTGAGAACTCACCGACAAAGGAAATTTTCCTGTCCGTTCCGATCCAAAGGAGATTTTTCCTGAGTGGAAACTAGCCTTTAGACGGATAAATCAGACTGAGTTTCAGAAATATCAGCACGGTCAAGGACGGAACAAGGCTAAGAAAATTAGGAAAATAAACACAATTATTATCGTAATGATTACGCATTAAGGCTAGTTTCCACTCAGGAAAAATCTCCTTTGGATCGGAACAGACAAGAAAATTTCCTTTGTCGGTGAGTTCTCAGGCGGTGTTTATACAAAGGAAACTTTCCTGTCCTGTCCGATCCAAAGGAGAATTTTCCTGAGTGGAAACTAGCCTTCACCCGACCCATCATACGTATTAATTTTCCGTATCCCAATTCACATTTACTGTTCGGCTATTCTTAATTATTGCACGTTTTTCTTTTAAACCTATTTTCAAATACATTGTTAATTCTTGTACTTTACTTTGACTTCACTTCATTAAAAATACAAAACAATCGCACCGTAACCATTAGCTTCACCTGCACTGCATATAACTATAACTTATGACAGATCGTGCTTTACGGCACTGCATACCTGTATGTGATATTTAGCGACAACACAAATGGCTAATATTAAGTTACAAGCTACGAATAAGATAGTAAAGATACAGTGTGTGAGATTTGAGAAAATAAATCCATTTAAATTGTTATTCATTTGAGAAAAAATGTAGGCTTTCACCACAAGAACTGGTGGTGTAGTGGTGAAGACGGTGATCTGCCAAGTATGCAGTCGATGGTTCAAGTCCTGAACAAACCGAAAAAAAAAAGGTAATAAGGTGAGAATTTGTGAGTGTGAGAGGAGTAGAGCGAGAGGGCGAATATGCCCTCGCCTTGGGCGAGGAGTAGACTGAGGGGGTTGTCTTTCCCCCGACTTACCTAACTTTCAAAGCAAGCTTTCTTCAAACATTTAATTGTGTAAGGGGATAGCTAGGGATACCTAAGGATAGGAAAAAGTAGGGATAGAGAGGAATAAATAGGAGGATAAATAGAAGGATAAATAGGGGTAAAGAGGTTTAAATGAGTACAAAAAGACTTAAACGTTTTATATACTGTTTTCTCACCTATACCTTTCCCCTTACCCTGGGAGCCGAGGCCGCTCAATAACTAAGTCTTTTTGTACTCATATACCCCTCATTCACCCTATCTATCCCCTGATTTCGGTAAAGATTAACTATTATTTCCAAAGATTTAGCGAGTATAAACCTTTTCCGAGCAACATACCTACCATTTTTTCTTTCTTTTACCGCCACGAGAAACGTACGGTCCTGTTCTTGATACCTCGATCTTGTACTTGATAGTCCACGACTTTACCGCAAGGCTAACTAGTGATTGTTGGAATCGTACACTAACTTATTCTCCATAACCTTACCATGTAATATTAATAACGAAAATTTCCATCTAAAAAGATATTCGATCTTTCGATTGTCGACACATGATAGCATCATCTTGACCACCAGACTACAAGAACTTCTGCTGAACGATTATGGTTATTTAATTTACTTTATCCCTTTAACGAAGTTCATATTGAAAAACGGTTAAAGCAGGATTCGAACCATCGATTTAGGAGACCATTGTCGTAGCCAATAGGCTACAAGATCTTTTGCAACAGCAATGGTTATGTAATTTACTTTATCTTTTTCACGAAGTTTATGATGAAAAAACGGTTTTGGTAGGAATCGAACCATCGATTTACCACTTGGGAGACCATTGTCTTTGCCACTAGACTGCAAGATCTTGTGCTGAAAGGCAATGGTTATTTAACGTACTTTATCCTTTTCACGAAGTTCATAATGAAAAACGGTTATAGTAGGATTCAAACCATCGATTTACACTTAGGAATCCATTGCCATCGATGTATCACTTGGGAGATCTTGTGGTCTTCGTAATCAGATTACAAGATCTTGTGCTGAAAGGCTATGGTTATTTAATTTACTTTATCCTTTTCACAAAGTTCATAATGAAAAACGGTTCTAGTAGGATTCGAACGACCAATTTTACACGTGGGAGACCATTGTACTTGCCACTAGACTACAAGATCTTGTGCTGAACGGCTATGGTTATTTATTTCACTTTATCCTTTTCACGAAATTCATATTGAAAAACCGTTATGGCAGGATTCGAACCATGGACTTACCATTTGGGGGACCATTGTCATATAGCCACTAGGCTACAAGATCTTTTGCAACGGCTATGGTTATTTAATTTGCTTTATCCTTTTCACGAAGTTCATAATGAAAAACGGCTATGGTAGGATTCGAACCGTCGGCTAGGCACTTGGGAGACCATTGTCTTCGCCACTAGACTACGAGTATCGTTTAATCTTCCGGAGAGTAAGGACGAGAGTCAAATAGGTAAAGGTTTTGATTTTGGAATAGGTTTTTTCAATAAGTTAGGAAAAAGTTTCTCTGATCAATATAATAAAGAGGAGAAGGAGCTTGAAGAGAAGAAGAAGAAGAAGAAAAAGGGGGATGAAGAATAAGGGGAAAAAGAACCAAAAAGGGGGGACTATTTTTATGCAAAGAGATTGGTTAGGATTAGCACCCAATGATAGAAGACTCTCGAGACAAAGAAGGTGAGCGCAAAGTGGAGGGAATAAGAATAAGGATAAGGAATTCGCTAAACTTCTTACTAGAATGAAGAGAAAACGTTTTTTTGATAGACATTTGAAGAAATAAAGAATAAAAATGTAAACAATATTTCAAGGGGGAGAGTATTGTTCAATCCTTCAAGGAGTAAGGACTAGAAAAATGGGTGGAAGAAAAGGATCTCAAAGAAAAAGAAGGACCCAGAGAAAGAGACAGAGTGGAGGTACTATTGGGGCTAATGAATTTATGAGATATAAAATAGGAAAGATGAAAAGAGCGGGGGATATACTTTATGAACTTAAAAGAAGAAATTTCTTTGGACTTAAACCTAAACATATTGTAGACGTTCTTACTGGAAAGAAGAAGGTGGGGAAGAACTGGGGAAAAGGAAGAAAATTAAACTCTGCAGGATTTTAAGATTGTAAATACGTTTTTAAAAACGTATGAAAAATGTTTTGTTTAAAAGGTTGTACATATATTAAAAATATTTTTAATAAAATTTTTAAAATATAAAATTGGTTTTTTGTTTTTTATTGGTTTTTAAAATAATTTTTTACAACATTGATTAAGCCCACGAATGGGTTGATTAAATATAATAACATTAAAATTTTTCTTAACATAACATGCAACATTACAATCATTCCATGATGTATTGTTAGTGAACATATTTACAATTTCATTCATTGTATATCCTCGACATCGTTGATATAAATAGAAAATGCAATATTGTCCACATACTTCGGTCCAATGACTTTGTAAAACACGTTTATTCCATTTAAGAGTTTCAAAAGAGGGTTTGAATATATCTTTATAGTAATATGGTGGTTTTCCGTAGCTATAAAAAAATTCACCATTTTCTTTAGAGGTAAAGTAGAAGGCGACCCAATGTGTCCCTTGTTTTGAACTTGGATCTGTATTAACGACGAACCCACATGGGAAAGTATTTAAATTTTTTGGAATTTCATCAGCAGCAAATACTCCACAAAAATATTTCTTAGTTACAGAATGATGTTCAAGTATGTTTTTGATTTCACTAGTATTCATGAGGATATATCATACATTACATTTCTCTCTGCGTCAATTTGTATAATATTTTCAAAATCTTCCATAGCATACGAGAAATAGGATTGGTAGGAACATCCCCAGCAGCAAACGTGATGTCAAGTGTCAGCGATCCTCGTTGTACTGTATTAAAATAGGGAGAAACACCACACATATCAGGGTGAGATCCCATGCGTAAAGGGTGAATCCTTTAAAATAATCTTTCTCTATCAATATCAAGACCTGTATTCATGTTCATTTTCCTGTACCAGAGAATAGTGTGTTGTATGCTGAATGAAATTTTCTTTGTTTTCTTTATGATTAAGAACAAGTTGTTTGAAAGGTATTTTCTTCTCCGTTGGCTGTTAATGTTACTGATGACACATTAAAGTGTTGAAAATTATAGGGGTTTTTACCATAAACACCGCTAAAAGCATCAGCCTCTACAAATCCACATATAAATGTTTTTGGAATAATTCCTGCAAACATATTATCTTTTCTTATTTGGGGAAGATTCCCAGGGATGGTAAAGGCTTTACATTCGACACGTCGTATAGGGTAGGTAGCAGGTACAGATCTTAGGGTCATTTCGTGTGCTTTACTAACTGTATCGTTGACTTTAACTTTACGTACTTTAAGTGTTGCATCCACAAGTTTGACTTTTGCATTCATAACCACATTATTCTTATCTACTAAACAGAATTTGTCTGAGTTTCTATTTAGGATTACTTTAAGGTCCACCATGCTGAGTAATAATCGTTCTGTCATAAATGCATCACAGAAAATAGGTCCTGCCATTACCAATAGTTTTCCATCTTGAATAAATTTATGACGTTTAGCAAAACCTTGATTTCCACTTCCTGGTACTAAGTATTTCAGAGTTTTGTTGTGGGAGCATTCCAGATGTTACTACTAGACTTGGTATGCCCCGTAACAACTGTAACAGATTCTTCCGTTGGAAGACTTCCTGTGCTGTCCATATGTCCGGGGGTATCTTTGTAGTATAGTGCAGAGGTGAGCTGAGATTGTTTTGCTGAGACATCATAGTTTAGGAGGGTTTCCAAATAGGCACGATAAGCATAAGTACCCATTGCTGGTGTAACTTGTTTTCCATTTAAGTAAACATCAACTTGTTTAAACAAGCTATGTAGAAAATTGTTAATAGGAGCTACACTTGATTGTTCATTCCCTCCTAGAGGGGTACCATCGGATTTTGTCATTTTTAGTTCAATTACAAGAATCATTTTTGACATATCAATATAATCTTCGGTACCTGCTATTAGAAATGTAATTGGTCCATCATCATTTTCTACACTAGAGAGTGCGTGATAATCAATCCATCGTCCTTTTTCCAAACTGAGTTGCGTAGAAGGAATATCAAATAAATCAATCTCACTTTTATCACATCGTGCAGAGTTAGGATGTACATAGTTATTCATCTTTATTATTATTATTATTATTATTATTATTATTATTATTATTATTATTATTATTATCACAGACTATTACAGACTTTTCCTTTTTGAGGTTTTCTTTTTTGTTTTGTTGTTGTTTTACGGTTTTTTATTTTTCGTTTTTGTCGTTTTCTACCTCCTGTTTGATTTTGTTTTTTAGGTCGTTTCCTGGAGCGAGATCGTTTTCTAGATTGAGATCGTTTACGTTTTTTTCCACCTGTTTGTTTTGTTTTCATTTGATTTAAGAGCAATGCTTGTAGTGCTCTCTCTGCAGCCATATTAGCTGCTTGACGTGTTCCTGCTTTTTTACTATGTGTTTTTGCTGAAAGGTTTGAACTTTTTCCCGGGATTAAATCATTAATCAAGGTTTGAAGTAATGGTACTCCTACACTTAAACCAATGTTACCTACTTCTCTTGTTATAGGTTTTAAAAAATTTCCAACAGTACGAAAAAAACGGAGACCATTCCCCTCCTGAATTCGTTGACGATTCATTATTTTAAAAATAACTCTTACGTTTGAAATGTAGTGTTACCAGTGCACGTCCACGTTCAAATGAGAGGGGTTCATTTGTACTACTCCTTAAAAGAATCTGTATTTCTTCAAAAGATTTGGTTTGTACAGGAATGTAATGTGTCTGCTTAACATATTTTCTATTTTTTTTAATAGGGACAATATCAAGTAATGGAATAGTTTTATCCCCAACAATTTGAGGTTGTACAATATTACAGTATACATAAATATCTGTTTCTCTATGTAGATTTCCCTCATGAGTTGCTGTCTCGCTTGATTCAATTTTTCTCTCAATAGATGAATCCTCAGATGTTAAAAATCCTAGAATAATAGCTTGATCTCTTCGTAAATTAACTTTATATCCACTTTCTAAAGAGATAGTTACTCTTCTGGAATGAATTTTAAAATTAATTTTCTTTTTAATTTCATCTGTAAATAAATTGTTCATATCCTTTATGTATTCATCAAGTGATTCATAATATGTTTTTAATTTTTCTCCTTTCTTTTTTGTTCCGTTTTCTATGTATTGAATAGGTTCTCCATTTATAGGTATTATTGACCATTTTATATATGAGATATTATGTAATGCTACTTCCCACTCACCATCAAGTTGAATACGATGGGGAAGTTTTACTGTATACTCAGTTTGTTTATGCGTTTATATTCGTAGCTTTAACCTAATATCAACCATTTGTGTTGACGCAAAAATATCACAGGTATGGAATCCCTTAAGAATGAAGCTAAGGGTCACGGTGCGATACGGTCAATGAAGTCAAGTCTTATTTCACAGGTCACAAATTAAAATTTCTGGAAAATGGTATTTCAATTTGTAGATTCATTAGAATGTTTCAACATTCGCTACTAATTTCACAGCTAAAGTCCTCTAAGCTGTGTTAACATAAAAAATATTGTCACGTTTGCTCCAAAAAGTAAGGCAGTTTTCAATATTTCAATATTTCAATATTTTGACAAGACTGTGTACTCTTTCATATATTACATCCTAAATCACGCCTTTTACAAGGTAAAAAATCGACATTTAGCACGATATTTATGGGTTCGTGACGTAATAACACGACGATCGCATTCAACACTGGGCCAACAGATCTTGAAATCAAAACCTACCTGCTTTGGAAGTTGCGAAACCATTGTCGTCACACCTGGACTCTTTGCTCTTGTGGGATTATTATTCGTTCCCTGCAACTGCGCTGGGTGTTTTTTATTCTAAATTTGACTTTTTATCGTTTTCCAAAAGCGTTTAAGTATATATGTTTAATAACCGTGAAGTGTCCTTTTTCACTCACTGGATTTACTATATATAAGCTAAAACAGGTTGATATTGGTTAAGAAGTGATGTGAACAAAGAACATTCTTGATTCTTGATTTAATGCAATAGTGCACATAGTGCAGAATAACCACGTGCAAACACACAGACGTAGATAGTTAAAGATAGTACCTTGCACATGTATGCAAATTTCTAATTAGTATAAAAGGATTAGAGCATCAGCGCTTAGTGTTAAAGGCTACATTTATGACGTATTTTTGTAGTATTTGATAAATACTTATTTGAACAGCCTTTAAATATAAATTCTAAAAAAATATTTTGTAAAGTGCAATGTTTAAATGACCGTCGTAAAGTGAATTTGTTTCGAGAAAAACAGTCATAAAATGAAAATTCTAGCCTTTCGTGCACCATTTTAAGAAAAAATTCTAGTTGCGTCCAGTTTGGTCTTTGCCAGGTTGTTAGGCGATTAGGGAAGTTATTTGTTCGTGCATATATTTATATTTATATACATATATATATATATATTACGTTTGGCAGACGATTCTTTGGGACGCTTTCCTTCTCCTGTTTAGGTCTCAATCGGTTGGCATGTCATCACAGATGTTAATATCGTCAGTCCATGCTCTGGAAAAACATTGACACTGGGAATCTGACCAGGTTCTGATCAGACTGTGGTCGTTTGGTTCCGTGTCCAAACTTTTAATCGCTGTAGTAAAACAGCCTCTTTCCCCTCGCCAGTGAGTTCGAACGCTTCCTGAAAAATATCAAGGGCGGCTTCGGTTTCGCACCCACCAATTATTTACCTACAAAAAATAAAAAAAAGGAAAGCATGTCTACAAACACGCGAGAATCAAGTAAAACTTTAAAGAAAAATACCCAAGAGTTACATTTTTCACTTACCAAATCTGACCAGTTTTCGATCAGCCAATGATCGAAAGCGCCACTCTGTCTTTGTGTCCATATAGATATTCGCCGTTGCAAAACAGCTTCTTTCTCCTCGTCAGTGAGATCTAGGACTTCCAGATACATTTCAAGGGCAGCTTCGGTTTTGCACTCGCGAATCATTTCAAGGATCTACAAATAAAATGAAAAAAAACACATGTGAACTGGCATACAATAATCAAGTAAGATTTTTTAAAACACTAAAGCAAACATTTTTATTTACAGTTTGAGACATCTTTCAAATGTTTCACTAAATTCGTCAACGAAGATCGCACAATGGCTGTAATAATTTGCCAACAGGATGGATATGGTATTCCTCGCACTGAAAACAGTTCCGTCCACATAGCCGTATCAAATAGCAAACGATCTTGTTCAGGGCAAAAGAATTCACAACATGTAGGGTTGTTCCTGGTGCAAACCCAAAACTTTCCTTTCTTCGTAGAGATTGTGGTTGCAGGCACTCCATGTAAGCACTCCATTGCTGTGGGCAATTTTTGTTCAATGTGGGATTTTTATGTGTAAGCTACCCTGTGTTCGGAGGCGAACATGTTCAGGTTCGTCCTGTCATTAAAACCTATTACCAGTAATGTATGCATAAACGCGTTTGGACAAATAACAATGTGTTCAGTCATATTTTTAATTATGCTCGCCTTAATGACCTTTGTGTGCATTTGTGTGCATGATAAATGTATAAAAACAAAACTCCTGTTGTTTTCGACAGGAAGAAATTAACTCAAAGTTGTTGTGAACACATAATGAACTCTTAAGGAGTGGAAACGAGTGACATAATCTTCGGGTGATATAGTCGGATGCGAATCGGGTTGAATGATTAATTACGAATAAGGTCTAAAAGGTGCGGGGCAATAATTACGTCATGAGACACGTCATGAGTGCATAAGTTACCTTTGCATACTAATTACTTCCGCAGCCATAGTGGGGGGTATCACTACTATTGTACATGCAAATTTAAATGTGGAAATATAACGCTGCCCTTGCTTTTCTCTTTGAAAATTGATAAAAATAGTGCTACCCAAACTGAATGTGGTGTCATCGGGGCCGGCGTCTCTACAACAGGGCTACCATTGGTCCCTGTGAAAGTGAAGTGTGCTGGCTCGTTTCGAGTGGTGCTGACGTATGCGTTCCTTGATCCTGGTTCTAATACGACATTCTGTTCAAATGAACTGTTGGAGCAACTTGGCATCACAGGAAAGAAAACAACATTATCTTTGACAACCCTACAGAACGTACAGCAGACGACCAGATGTAGTGTGACCAGTTTGGAAGTTTGGGATTTAAACGAAGAGAACTTACTGGAACTTCCTACTGTTTTCTCGACCGAACGGTTACCTGTCGATAGATCTAGCATTCCGCTTCAAAAGGATGTTGACAGATGGCCTCATCTCAGAAACGTAAACGTACAGAAAATCGATGCCGCCGTTGGCTTACTAATCGGGAATGATGTACCAAAGGCATTGGAACCGAAGGAAGTCAGAGAGAGCAGTGGCAAGGGACCGTACGCCGTGAGAACAGTTTTTGGTTGGACGATAAATGGCCCGCTTGGAAGAAATAAGACGGCTCGTCGTCGCGCGAACTTCATTCGATCTGATCATGACCTAAATGAACAGTTTCAAACATTTTGCAATATGGAGTTCAACGACTCTGTATATGACACAAAACTGGAGATGTCGGTAGAGGATTCTCGTGCTCTTGGCATGATGGAAGGCTCGGTTCAGCTAAAGGACGAACACTATGAAGTAGCTTTACCATGGAAAAATTTCCCGCCACGTCTGCCAAACAATCGTCCATTAGCGGAACATCGCCTGAACCTTTTAAAGAAGAGGCTTCTCAAAGATCCTCAACTGCTTTCAAAGTATTCAGAATTCATGGATAACATGCTAAGCAGGAAGTATGTTCGCAAGGTTCCTGAGAGTTCGATAAACCAACCTAAACTACCTTTATGGTACTTACCCCACCATCCCGTAATCAATCCAAATAAGCCCAGCAAGATTTGCGTAGTTTTCGACTGTGCAGTAGTTTTCCGCGGGACGTCACTCAATAGTCAACTATTACAAGGTCCAGATCTAACAAACAGTCTTGTTGGAGTTTTAATTCGCTTCCGAACGGATCCTGTGGCCTTGATAGCGGATATAGAGGCTATGTTCCACCAAGTCCGCGTTACACCAAGCGACTATGACGCATTACGATTCCTCTGGTGGCACCAAAATGATCTTGATAAAGAACCCCAAGAATTCCAGATGATGGTTCACCTTTTCGGCGCAACGTCCTCCCCGAGTTGTGCGAATTTTGCACTCCGAAGAACTGCCGAAGACAACTCAGACGACTTTGGTGCTGAGATATCAGATATAGTAAAACGGAACTTCTATGTGGACGACTGTTTAAAGTCTGTTAAAGATGACGAAGTGGGCATCAAAACGGTAAGCTGTTTGACCAAGTTGCTAGCACGAGGAGGATTCCACTTGATGAAATGGGTTTCAAATTCAGCAAGAGTGATAGCGTCGGTGCCTGAAGATGAAAGATCTGGATCTGTAAAGGCTTTGTGTTTTGGTTGAAGGAATTGGTTGAACACTTGGTTGAAGGAATTGCCAAAGATCGAACAGCTTCGCGTCCCAAGATGTATCAAATCCTACTACGTCAATCCAATAGTTCAGACGCAGTTACACAGTTTCGCAGACGCTTCGCGACGTGGATATGGGGCAGCGAGTTATCTGCGCTTTGAGAATTCGAAAGGTAACATCCACTGTTCGTTTGTGATGGCTAAGTCAAGACAGTGGCTCCTCTAAAGGAAACAACCATTCCACGACTGGAATTATCGGCTGCTGTGGTTGCGACAAGACTCGACAAGATGATACGAAACGAAATCGATATTGAAATCCATGCCCCCATCTTTTGGACAGACAGCACCTGTGTTCTGGGGTATCTGAATAACACAAGCAAAAGATTCCAGACATTTGTTGCGAACAGAGTTGCCACCATTCATGAAACAACCACGCCTGAGCAATGGAGACACGTGACCAGTGAAGAGAACCCCGCTGATGACGCCTCACGAGGACTATCTGCAGATTCCTTGTTACGCAGTAATCGTTGGTTGAATGGTCCCGAATTTTTATGGAAACCAGAGAATTATTGGCCATGTCAAATCAACCTGGCCGTTGCAGTCAGCGATGACGACCCAGAAGTCAAGAAGAATGCCAAGCCTTCTCTATTGAAGATAGTTCACACGCCACAGTTGAAGGAATTATCGAGAGATTTTCGTCATGGGAGAAGCTGAAAAGATTCGTTTCATGGATACTTCGATATCGTGCCAATTTATCTAAGGCTGTCATGAGAGCTAAGACTAAGAGCAACTCGGATATCTCGACTCCAGACTTCAAACCACTCGACCTGGATGAAATACAGCATGCAGAAAAGGAAATTTTAAAATATATTCAAGGAAGAAGCTTTCAAGAGGAGTTAGCTCGTCTTAACTCCGTTGATGACCAGTCAGCAAAGTCGTTGAAAGGCCAAGTTAAGAAAACAAGTCCCATCTACAAACTTGACCCTCGTTTGAAGGATCAACTCTTGCAAGTCGGAGGACGCCTAGCGAATGCCCCCATCTCGGAGGAAGGGAAACACCCCATCATCCTTCCAAAGAATTGTCACATTTCCACCTTGATTGCAAGGTATTACCACCGGTTAGCGGGGCACAGCGGTTTAGAACATGTTCTGTCCTTGATCAGAGCGCGCTACATGATTAAAATTCTACGAGTTCAAAGTACACGTCTGGTTAAGACTGAGTCTAACATTGTTCAAAGATTAATTTGTCTGTCCGGTAGAAAATCGTTCGCTTCTTGAATTGTAGAGACTCTTGCTTGAACTTTGTATCGTATGATCAAACTGATAGTGAACAACTATTTATACCGCGAATTAACATAACTAATTAACATAACATTAAACTAAGTTATGACAGTTCCGGTTTGAAATCTACATTCCGGCCCCGAAATGTTGTATAAGGCGACATTTAAACAGTATATAAAGATTTTAACCGTAATCGATAACCAATCGACATGACGATGTCTTCTTCAACAATCAAGTGCATTCTGATGCTTCCAAGAGGACAATCTTGTCCACTGGGCGTTCCAGGGTGTTAAGTTTCGTTCTTAAAACTCACGAAGCCGTCTCTCGAATTCGGTTTCACTCTCGTGCAGGGGCGCCGTGGCCGGGGGGGCCAGGGGGGGCCATGGCCCCCCCCCAGGATTCAAACCTGTCGGAAATTTACGAACATTGCATGTTGTCGGAGTTTATCAATCATAACAGAGACTAAGCTATTTTTGCATTTGTGGCTGTGTTATGCTGAACAACCCAAAAGTATTTGAACTATCAGAAAATAGACGCGGTTATCTCTAATATTATACGGTACGACACTACCCCAAGTTTTTATTATACTGTTGTCGCGCAGGCTAAACTAGCTGTTTCTTCCGAACGTTTCCAGTTTCCGATAAACATGCATAGTTTCTATTAATATAACATTACGCAAGGAATGTAATTTTCGAAATGTCGGAGATTGGCGCGATAAAATCGCGATGAATGGCCATGTATCTTTGACCGCATTTATTGTTCAGTGAGTTTTTACAGTTTATTGCGTTGATATGGTGACCGTCCAAAGAAACACCAGCATGTCCCGTATCAGAATGCTGGAGCTACAGCAAATCCTTTTCAAGTTTATAGTACTTTTAGTCAAACGGTTTCTGAAGTTTATAAAAGATAAGGTACCACGATAGTACAGCGGAAGAAGTAAACTGATGAGAGGATGGAAGCATTTGCGAATATGTTTATATTTTGGTTATAAACAAATGTTGCGTATAGAATACGCTGTATGCTCATCCACTAAGATTACAAAGCTATAATAGAGTATCGTGAAATAACGTATCGCGTTATTTGTTAATGCATGTGGATTAGAAATCTCTGTAATACAGTTTTCCCACAAACAGTTAACTGTATCAAAAATTATTCAACTACTCAATTGAAAAGCGTATGTAAAACGTGAATATTTATCGGTCATATTCATTGTGTTATAAGGTTTTTTTTCTATTTACGCGAGGTAGGAGATCTTTACAAGGGTTTACTAAAGTTCAATAATGTTCTCTTCCGTCTTCTCTTCTCTACTTCTCGATCTTCGTCGTTTTGCGTTCTTGTCTTCTTCGTCAGTTCTGTCGTTGAGCTTCCTAACGTTTCATAAGTTAATCTTTACTCCGTCAGTCCACTGAAGGTTGGGGTGTTGTGCACGCCCTTTTATAGTAACGGTTGAGGGAAACTTGTAGACGTCATCAACCAGAGTGGGCTGATCCTTATCCAACCAATCAGCGTTGTAAGTTAGAAATGTGGGTTGGTCTTAGAAGCTCGTTCCAGCTCTCATATCTTGTTTGTTTAAGGCGTTGTCGCACTAGTCGAGTTGGTCTTCTGCTCAATCGATCAATACTTAAAAATGTTCACAACTTAAAATATTCATCATCAACAACTAGTAAAATATACCAACAATACGTCTGTGAACAATATCTTTCAACATAAACTATTTTCACTCTTATTTTATCGAATTGAACTTTTGATGACGTAATCTATTACATGCTTGACCGAGCAACATTTTTACCACAATTGATTGACATAAGAACTTGAATGGCCTACAGCACGCACACTTTTTTAAAGAATGCAACCATTAAGATAAGTGACGACTTAAGACTGTTTATCCAGGTATCAGTTCTCATTTAATCCCACGATATGTCATACATGAAAGGGAAAGGCGATTAATGTTTGCTAATGGCCGAAAATTATATTTACTCAGGCGTCTTGTGGCAAAAATCATTCACTAATCCCTGTCATGCTCTTGATATTTCTATTTTTGCAGCTATTTTTATATGCATATCTCTAAACACAATAAAGCTTTGCGTAACAATTGTGCATGAAGCGTCAATTTAAATTAGTAGACGTAGCTCGTGATCTTTGTCATAGCAAATGCATGCGCGTCCTTACCCAAAACCCCCTGTCAGTTTTGTCAATATTCGTTACTTTTTTATTATAAAGATGTCGGAAAAAAAACGTGCTTGTCGGAATAATGTTGCCTTTGGCCACGCCTACATTAGCACACCCACGGCGCCCCTGCTCTCGTGATTCGACCAAGCAACCACGACGATCTTAGTGTATTCTCGTCAACGAGCAAAACAATATCACCTACAGAAAAATTCCGACGAGCATTAACCCATTTCTGACGGCGTTGCAATTCTGGCAAGTATTCCTTCAGCCAGCGGCGCCAAAAAACATCCGAGAGATATTGAGCTTGTCTCCATCGACGTTTACAATACAAATCAGCTTCTTGGAAAACTCCTGGGGGTAGCGATGGTCCCGGGCGCAAAAGAAGCAAATGATTTGGCGTTAAGGCTTCTAGGTCATTTGGGTCGTCAGATACCTTGCTTTAAGAGGGCCAACAATATTTTACGGGCAGTTCGGATGCAGCGCTCTCAAACTCCACCATGGTGAGATTCTGAGGGAGGATTAAAGATCCACATGACGTTTTGCTGCAGGAGGAATCGTTGGATTTTCTGTTGGTTCCAATCATCGATTGCACTTTGAATTTCTCTTTCTCCGCCGACAAAATTAGTGCCATTGTCAGATCTAATGACTTCAGGTTGTCCCCTTCTGGCGATGAATCTAGGCAATGCGTTGAGAAACGAACTGGTATCGAGGCTTTGCACCACTTCAATGTGAACAGCTCAGATGGTTAAGCAAGTGAATAAAACGGCATATCTCTTCACCAGTCTACGTGCTCTTTTCGCAACAAATGGACCAAAGCAGTCCACCCCAACGAAGGTAAACGGCGGCTTATCTGGCGTGACTCGATGTTCTGGGAGGTCCGCCATTTTTTGTTCACCTACTGCTGCTTGTCTTCTTTTGCAATCCACACACAAGTACTCATTGTGCGCAACCTTCCCGTGAGGCAACGAGAGCCTGCAGTGGAGGCAGGTATTTAGTTGCGTGACTGCAGGGTATGACCTCAAGATTTGGCTTCAAATCTCCGGCCGGAGGTAGCCTTCCAGTTCTTTTGAGTTCAATGACAGAGACTCGTCTCTTCCGATTTGAAATGATGTCCCCTAGTTTTGCCTAATACGTCATTTCCACGCGCCACGCAACCACCCGATTCTCTTCTTGTAGCCCCTTCGGCCAAATTTCAATACAAAAGTATGCCGAAAACGCTGCTCGAAAGGTGAAAAATTGATTTTTTTTTGTAACTGGATCGGATTATCTTTTTTTTGGACCAATATTTTGGAGATTAACGGTAAGTTGTTTGTTTTCTTGTGTTTAAATGTTCGTGTTGTTTTTAAAAACAATATTAAATCCTCGTTTGTTAAATTCAAGTGCGATCTGAGTTTGCCTTGTCTACTCACAGTCTACTGCCATATTTTACCCGAATTGTCAAATTGTAAAGTGAAACGTTGTCAGAGCTGCTTTTTTATTGTTTGTCAACTAGCAGGGAGAGCATTTGCATACTTGTAGAATAACAATATAGGAGGAATTTTAAAGAATACGTCTAAATTCGCGTTTTCAGTAATTTTAAAATATCGACAAAATACCGCATTGCAAAACATTTCGAGATTTTGGCGTTATATAGCTTTAACTCGCAGAGGATGTCAGTTTTTTAATAATTAGTACCATTCGATGATACAAACATTCACTGAAAACATTCATAATTATGTATCTTTACTTCTCAAGCAGAGTTGCTGTTCATACTTTTTCAGCTGTCCTTTTTCAAACTTTTTTGACCAAATTTTCACCAAGAATATTATAGCTATGGGCTTTCTAAAGAAAATATATTTTCAACTCTTCACTTACAGTACAAAAAACGTTTGGAACATTTTAGCCAAAGCGGTTAAATATTTTTAAATTGCATTTTTACTGGAAAAAATTTCATTTTTCCATATCAAAAATGTGCTCGGAGCTTACAAGAAGGGAATTGTGTGAAGGCTTATTTGCGCGGGCGAGTAAACAAGTTGGGACGCGTGAAGCCACGAGTCGAGGCCAATTTTGACCATGTGGTCGCGTTAACTATATTATATTTGGATTTTTATTGATCCAAAATTAACTTCAAATTTCCCGATTTGTGAAAATGTGAAGACATAGGAAGTTTCTTTACACGCTGGTGAAGTTTTGTCCTGAATAAACAATTCAAACAGTACAAATTTTGACCAAAATGTTTGCTTCGTGGTTGGGCCAACGCCGACGTCATTACGTTATGGCTGAAAT